AGAACAAAACATATATTTACTGGAAGGATATACAACACATCTTAATTATCTAAGGATATTTCTGGTATATATATTTAGCTCAAAGAATACACTCCTATTCTAGAAGATAAATATTAAATTTGGTCACAAAATAAGACAACTTTTCTGGAAAAATCTTTCCTTTTAAAAAAAAATTAAAATTTCCACTGGGGGGGAAAAATCAGTAAAAACTTTGAGATTTTGACTATCTGCATATGGATTTGGGCTCTAATACTGCTCCATTAAAGTATTTGGCAGCTTTTTTATGCATCGTGTGCACATGTTGTGACAGTATGTACAATAATAGATATACAATAAGGGACTTTTCTTTTTTAAAAGAACTATCCCATCCTATTAGATACATACATATATATCATTTTCAGTTCACTTTATGGGTGTGCTAGTGTCACCAGAGCCTTTGCAGTCTGTCAGGGAAATCTGTATTCAAGTGTCAATGTGTAAGAGGACTGTGTTAGAGATAGTCTGGGTGAAAACATGAATGAAATTTCTAGAGAACCTGGCTGCCAAATATTATTAACTTGTCTGTTTTCTTTGTTTAAATATGAGACATGGACTGAGAGATTGCACAAGAGTGTCTTTTTTTTGCAATTCTGTAACTTAAAATTACCAGGGTTAAGACTTTTTCAGCATGTATTAAACATAAATAAATGGAATAAAATTGAGCTGACACATCCGGTATACAGATCCAGCCAAGGCAGAATGTGAATCTCCTTGCACATCCAAAGCTCTATATTTCGATGAAGTTCAGAGGAAAAGGATTGCAAGGAATAGAGGATCATGCCTCTACATTGTAACTGTCCATTAAAACAGATTAATAATGGAGAGACTGAGATAATTTTACACATAACTGTCATATATGTGTTTCTTATTTTTTTTGGCATGCTGGCACAGATCTATGAGAGAGATATGACAGGTGAGTCAGAATCTTTGCCTTTATTCTTGGAAGGACCAAAATATCTTTTATACATTATTTCTGTCAGAAAAAAATATATATATCATGCTATAATGATTGAAGTGAGAAATACAGACATAGACTGAATCATTTACAGTGGCCATTTAATTAGCTTTCCATTTGTCACACTAGTTAAGTGCTCCATCTCCTTTATCTTCTTTAACTCACACAGCTGATACAGAAGAGCAGGTCATGGCACATGTGCGTTAAACTTCATTATGGAGGAATTTGTTTCTATAGCGTAACTAAATAAGTTCCCTTGTGGGGAGTGCATCATGATGTAGCCCAAGCAGGTTTGCAGAAAAAGATGTGGCTAACCTCTTGCAACCTTTACTCACGAAAACGCACTCTCTGGAGTAAATTCTCCTAGTTGTGCGGATATAAACACCAAAGACTCTAAGGCTACGTCTAGACTACACACCTGTTTCAAAAGAGGCTTTTTCGAAAGATTTTTTTAAAAAACCCTCTTTCAAAAAAGAGCGTGTAGACTACAACCAGTACGTTGGAAAAAGCAAGCCACTTTTTCGAAAGAGAACACCAGGCAGTCTGGATGCTCTCTTTCGAAAAAGCACAGTTTGCATTACATAGCACCTTTTTTCGAAAGCGCACTTCCGAAAAAAGGCTTTATTCCTTGTAAAACGAGGTTTTCCGCGGTTGACAAAACCACTGCATTCTTTCAATTGACTGTCAACAGAAGACGGTGGCAGTCTAGACGCAGATAACGATTTTTCAAAAAAAGGCCACTTTTTTCGAAAAATCCCTGTAGTCTAGATACACCCTAAGAGTCACTCTGAAATTACGCTGAGATAACTGAGTACAGAATTTGGCCCACCGACTTCAAATCATTCACTACTTCAAATCACTGACTACTCACATGAGTCATGGTTGGAGAACCAGCCTCTTTATTTTCATGAATTACAGCTGAAACACATAACTTATGAATGGCAGAACACAGAAAAGCCAAGAGTGGGCTGAGCATGGTCAATCCTAACAAATTACAATGAGAAATGTATCACGCTGTCTGCTGTCAGGTGTAATTTATATCATACTAGAAGGGTGACTGAAAAGCCAGTATAGGCAGGAACTTACCATTCCTATAGTTGTTCTTGTTAAGCCAGATCTTGCAAGGTGTTGAGAATGCTCAACTGCCTGTGAAGCCAATGCAAACTGAAATTGTTTGGGACCTTGCAGGACCAGGCCAATTATAAGAACAACTGAGGAATAAATATAATTGAATTATTGTTCTATTTTCCATTAATATGAGGTGTGTCACACAAGTGTGTAGATGTATGCAAATAATAATAAAAATGTATATTTAGATTTACAAGCACACAGCAAAAGCAAATAAATAATGTAATATAGATATACATGAAGATTATCTCCTACACTTTAATTTTTAGGATGCTGCAACTTTCTTTTCTACAACTGCATCTCAGATTCAGCAAAGCATAGCCAAGCCTATTTGGCAAAGGACTTACGCACACAATTAAGTGCTTTGCTGAACCCGGGCCTATACGATTTGATTACTCTACAATACTTGAAGTTCTTATGAAATGTTGATAACCAAAATGTAAAGAATTTAATACCCTGAATAAATAATCCAAAAAGCTCTGTGTGCACATGAAAATAGCTTGCTTCCATCTGTGGCTACGCATGTCATCTTTGCAGAGTGGGCTAATTGCACTTTTCACTATTCCCAGCTGTCTCACCCAGTAACATATATCCTTTTCTCCTACACCCGCTTAAGACCGAAAATCTCTCTCTCATCCATGATAATTGTGAAGGCAGTTTATTACCTCCTGGAAGATATTTTAGAGGTCAATGAAAACAAAAGCTTTTGTTAATTTATTCCAACACTACTGAGGATCCAGAACACTGAATCATTGGGCGTTTTGCCATTGGATTCAATGGGAATGAAAGCAGGCCCTTCTGAGTAAGGACTGGGGTAACCATTCATGTCAACTAACGAATGATTGCAGGAATCCCACTAGCAAAATTAAATAAAATAACCTGAATCTGTCTCTTTTTAAATATAAAATGTGTGCTCTAACACTTCCTTACTACATATCCACTCTTCTTGGTTTTCTGACTGTATGATGTTACTCAAACTTTACAATCTAAGGGTCTAGTATTGCAAACATCTACTCACATGAGTAGATTCACTGAACCCATGGGCAAGAACTACTTGAAAAAGAGTTTGCAAGTTCAAGACATAATAGATAACACAACACATACAAATGCAAGACAATGCACAACACAATACACTAGTACCAATAACTGTTTTGTACTTGCAGCTTAAAAATCAAAACGAATACACTTATTTTGTTTCAACTGTTTGAACAAGTCTGTATTATAAACCAAAACTCCTGAATAAAATCTGGGGATTTATTTTAAACATATTTATATTTTGCAAGTTATACCATTGATGTTTCTATTAAATAACTCTGATATGGGGGCATATTTTCTAAAATGTCAGCACTGATTTTTTTTAATGTGGAAGCAGATGTGCTATTTCACTGCAACTGCTGCATATTCGCTGTATTTTCTTTATTCTGTGAAACATCCATCTGTTTTTCTGTTATAAATTTTCCTCCATGGATAGATTTCTTCCTTGCAATTAAATACTTGACTGAATCTTGAAGTAGATGGTCTCCCCAAAAATCATGTATTTTGCCTAATTTTAAAATATTGGCATTTCAATTAATGCTTTTTTTTTCCTACGGACCATTTCAATGCACTACCTAGTCTTGGACTGAAATAACAGCCATATGCTTTATGACATCAGAAGCATTTCAAGGTGTCTCCATAAATGTCATTTACTGCTTGGGAATCTGCCAAATCAATGCAAAAATCCCCAGTTCTTCTAACAGGAAAATACTTAAACAAAAATGTAGCGTTATACAGTACCTCTATACTGAAAAAGCTGTCTCTTTGCAGAAATACAGGTCATGTTGCCAGCAGAACCTCTGACAACTACACTGTTGACCTGATTCCTGGTTTGCATTTGAATCAAAACTGCTTTCTTTAGCCAGGGTGACCAAACACCTTGTACTGTACATCTCACACTTCCTGTTATTTAGATGTGAAGCATTTGACCCTTGCACAGAATAAACACAATCTGTTATTCTTCAATCTCAGAATACTAATTTTGGTGGATTTCATTAAAAATCTAAAGCTAACAAATATCCCTTTTGAGATACTCTGACAAAAATGCTTTTAACTCTTAAATCACTGATATTCTTCAGTTGCCACCCTACGGCCCAAAGTGCTGAGCACCTCCAATGCGCACCTTGCATAGTGCTACACACCTCACAAAATAAGGCCCCAAATGAATACTACAGAGGTTTATATATGCATATCTTTGCAATTTCTACTGCCTTAAAATACTGGCCAGATTACATAATCATCGCCAGACACACCAGTAGCTGCATGTACAGTAACTAATCTGCATGCGGTAACTACAAACAACTTTGACCTGACGTGCAGTTGCAAATAAATACATTGTGTGCTAGGCATTCTGCTGACAATGAGTAACTAGTGTCAATCCTGTTGAATGAGTGGGTACACATCAGCTAAAAATTCTACCAACCTACACCGCTGCACCTCTGTTAAGGCTTTAACTGCCTGATAAAATATACCCGTGAGCACCCCCATAAAAGACAGGCTTGTTTATTTTTGAACCAAAGGTTGTTTTAAAATAAAGAAACCAATTTATATAGTGGTGAATATTATAGGACAGTCACATCAACAGGTGCTTAAAACACAGCAGTATGGTGGGGAAGAGGCTGAGAAAGAAAATGAATGGACTGTCCAAATAATACATACAGTTTGCAATCTTTTTTTCCTGTAGAACTCTAGTGAGGTTAATGGAGCAACTGGAGACTGAATTGCATATAAGTTGTGAATATGTAATATATTGTGTTTTACATCCAAATATTCCTCACAGGTAAATGTATATTTCCAAGCAACGAAAAGAAATAGCCACACAGCTTGAAAACACAGGTCTTACCTCGAATCTGGATACTTTGTCAAGGTAGCCAGGCTGCTGGTGTACATGTGTCCTCCTACATCAATATGCACAGGAGCATTGGATTTGGTGAGTTGAGCTGGGAGAGGAATTCCTTGAGCAGCCAGGGGAGAAACTGGGGACCGTGTTAGAGAAAGACGGGACATGCTTCTTCCCTCCTGGAAATGGAAGACAAAAAAGAACAGTTTCTCTTAAATGTAACTGTGTGTTACCTTTATTTCTAGTGTGATCACAGATCTAATCAGATCATTTTTGCATCTGCCTGATCACATATTCAGCTAACAAATTATTGCCACCACTGTAATTAAGTGTATTTGCATCATTTTCTTCAAAGTACCAGAGGGGAAGAGAAAGATGCTTATTAGCAATAAGAAATCAAGAAAAAAAATTTCAAGGTGTCAGCCTCAAGGGGCATAAAACAAACTGCAAAATTCTAATTAAAGGTCGCGGGCTTATGTGTTAGATGTGAAATATCCCCTGACAAACGAATAACCAATTTGTGAATTGGGATTCAGGGGTTTTTGCAAGTTTGTCTCAGTAACGAGACACCTCTAAATTAGTGATTTCCTCAGCACCTAAGGCATTTAGTTTATACATGTAGTAAATTTCACATCAAACTATGAAAAATAGATTTTATTTTTAATAACTACAAAATAAATTGATAAGTATTGGTTACATCTTAATAGTCGATATAACAAGGGACTAATAAGCTTTCAAACTGAAGAAAATTAATAGCTGGAAGCAATGGCAGCAAATATATATATATATATTATATAAAATTACTGAAGTTTTCATGACACAAAGGTTTCACAAATGCCATAAAATGTAGCATTAGAAATCAGAAATATACATATGAAAATGTGTGTATTTGTTACTTTACAATATCTGAAATTAAATGGAATTCAGTCTAAATATTTGTACCTGATTTCCAAATTCATGCACTGAATTTCTGCTTCTATTAACCTAAAACAAATATTTAAAAGACTTTCAAAAACTCCTTTGATGTGGAAGGGACTGCTAGGGACAAAATATATCCAAAAATGTCTTCAGGTTTTATATGAAAAGGATGATAACTTTTCTAGATACCAACATACTTGGTTTAAAAATTATAGGTAACATATATGAAAAATGAAAAACCTATTCAAGCTTTTGGAAGTTCTTACACACCAATGTGTCTTACACAACTGAATTAAATCAAATAAATATGTGTAGAATAACATATGCAAAATATTATAGTTAAAACATTTCTGAATATAATCTAATTTTTTTGGTATTTTGTTTTGCAGTCATGCTACCAAACATATAAGCTCTTCCTAACATCTGATAAGCACTTTATATGCAATGTTAGAAAGCGAATGTCCAAATTCTTCCAGGTTAATTTGCTGACATTTCTAAGAATGCTAAGCCTCTACTTTCTTTTAATAATAAACATTTTGCACAATATGCTTGCCATAACCATTCAGTGAACATGTAATTGACAAGATTATTTAAAAAAAACATGGTTACCAAAATACATGGAAAGGGGATACAAATATAATGTATCTTGACATCTTTCAAAGAAAACCACAACATCTTAGATTGTATTTCAGAACAATTTAAACTACTCCAGTACAGAAATACATCACCCCATTATGAATCCACATCCTTTTTTCTTCAAATGCAGAATGGACATCTGCACTGAATGCGGAACAAAATATCAACACTGTCCTAGAACTTCTGTGTCAGTCGATGTGAAATTGGCATTAACATTTTTACTGTAGCACCACCTTCAAGGAAAATGATTGAATCCTTTAATGACTAAAGATGCTGCTTTCTTCTTTCCCACAAGGTCCTGTTACGAGCAATCTTTAGGAAATACGCCATATCACAAATAAAACAACTAACTTTTCAAAGCAACATAATACTTTAGCAGTCAGTTCTCTATTTGTGGATGTTCTATCTGGCTACCAACACAGACAAGAACGTGTTCCTACCAAAGAGCACTGCAAGCTCATGTTCATTCTGTACTCCTTCTCATAAATGTAAGGGTCAGTAGCTACATGCTGCATGTCAACTCTGCCTTTGTTCTAACCCTAAGTATTATCACTAATGATAAAGGTACAGACCTTGCAGGAGACAGCTGCCTTGGAAATACACCTCATGGAGTTTTACAAAAAATATGCCTAATTAGGGCTCATCTGGACCCCTACAATTTCTAAATGAAATCAAAGAACTTGTAAGACTTGAAATAAGTCTTACATTTAACCGTTTGTCCTGAAATGCAGACTCCAGTTTTAAAATATGCATAGAAAGCTAAAGATCAAGTGATCTGAATCTATTTGTGCATATTTAAACACTACTACTTTCTTACGATTTTGTTTAATGTTGGTACATCAGCAAATGCCTTGATCTGCAAACTGTCTGAGACTCTCTGTGAGGCCATACCCATACAGTAGAGTAGAGATATTTAATTTATACTATTCACTGGAGGGACTTTTTGAACAATCTCTGCTTTTGGCATCACTCAGCCACAGTATGCACTGAAAAAACCCCACCTAATTATAGAAAATCACTGGAAAACTAAAATAGTTCATAATGTTGTATGGATTTTCATACTTATTGAAGGATTTCAGGTTTTTATTTTAGTGGAGGTAATCAGAAGGGGATCTGAAATACAGGTTTGTTTAGTTAACAAAGATTAATATTCTAAAATAACCCAAATGTTTAACAAAGCTACAAAAGCCAGTTCTTTTTTATGGTGTAAAAAGCACTTCCATTAATCCTAGAAATAAATATTTCTGTTTCCTTAATCCAACTTTGACTATCTTCTTGCATGTATTTCTCAATATAAACTACTGTAAAATTCATCATAGCAAGTAATATATTAATTTAATGTACAGAGCTGGATCTTAAAGGTATTTATCCCATGAAAGCCTTTATCTGTGTGTTTTATAACACTGATATGAAAATTAAAACTGGAAGTGTAAATATTGAAGAAACTTTAACAAATTCAATTTTTAAACCATATAAAATAATCCCTGTTCTTTAGCTGCCTACAAAAGGGTATAACATCACTACTAGTGGCACAGCCAATAGCCCTGCTCTAATAAGTAACACAGGAAGCTGCTAAAGGCAAAATCAATAGAGCCTGATTCTCAAATTATCTGAATATTTAGTTTTTCAGACATTACACACCAAGATTTTTTCAGAGCCAGCTTATCTTTTTCTGCCTCTCTAAGCTAACTGCATAAGTACTGCTTGTAAAAACTATTTGCCCATGCAAAGTGAAATAATCACAATGCCATGCTCATTTACACACAAAATGATTTTGTGTCCCATTGTGCTCACAGTTGTTCAGCTCTCTAGGGGTGATTAAACTAGCTATGCTGCTACAGCTTGAGATGATTTCACTGAATCGTTTCTCCATGAAGTTGCTTCTTTGCTAAGCTGTTATTTTAACCATAAAAGGTAAACAGAAGGCAGTTGTAAGAGCTCCATTCAGCTCCATGCCCAGGGCTATCACCCTAGGGCAGAGAATGCTGAAAGACTGCAGAATTTTCCAGGGTGTTGCCTTTCTTGCTCTGAAGCCTACAGGAATATTGTTCATTTAATACACACTCTAGATGATACATTTCAGTCAGATCCTACTAAAAGAAAGACTTCAAAAGTGTAAGAACTTTTGGGCGGATGAAGCTTTCCCACCTCTGCACATAGCTTGGGGCCATGGTAACCAATACTGCTGTTGATTTTGAGAAAATACAGTAGAAAAACTGCACAGAGCAAGGCAGAGAGATTGGGACAAGGGAGGTGAAAGGTTGAAGAAGAGAAACAAGAAACAGTCTGGAAGGGATAACAAGACATAAAGGGGAAGAATTAAAAAAGAAAGCAGCTCTGAAGGAGGGACAAAGTTAAATCACAAAACAGACACTTAAAAGACTACAGATGGGAACCAAGACTAATTAAGGATGTAAAAGTGCTTTGTTTCTAAAGTTTATTGTTGCCAGGATAAAAATTAATTGAAACTAATGCTGTTATTCACTCGTGCAGTTTAATTCCTTCATGCACATTTAAGACATGAAATGAAAACTGCAGGTTTAAGGACTTGCCATGAAACAGCTCACTATTTCTAAGATGTTGAAAGGGGGCATCTTTCAACCCATATGCAGCCAGCTCGCTGTGTGTGCATCAAAGGCACAAAGTCCAGTCTGCTGCAGGACCACTGACTCGTCTTTAATGAGATCAGCACCAACATCTGTTTTGACGCCCCCCCCCCTTTCTTTCTTTCTTTAACAGCAGATCTATTATATCACTAAAAGTGAAACCACCGTTTCAGTTCCCTCACCCCCCCGCCCGACACCCCATTTCAAGCACTTTGGAGAATAACCAGCTAAAGAACTTAACCTTGCACTCTCGTGGCTTCATGGCACTGTCTGTATTTCCAGGGAGGTAGGAGTCAGCCCAGCCAGAGGGTCAAAATTAAAGAGACTTGGCATTGCCTTCCTCTCTATAAACACGTAAACATGATAATATCCAGAATCTGCCTCTTAGGCGACTGGGAGCCGATTGTTTATTTTGTGAAACAAACCTAAGACAAAGAAGTGATCAGGTTACTTTAAAACCTTGGCCAATCGCTTATAAAATACAAGCCCATAAAACATTTGCACCCAGGTTCAGAAAACACTGGACATTGGCCAGCAAGTGGGTCAAGTCAGAAACTTTTTGAGAGCGTGTTGAGCTCTCGCTAAAAAAAACCAAACCAACCCTTTTCGCCACTCTCCTCCCCCCATTCCTAGCACTCTCCAATCTATTTAGTGTGAGTTTCACGTCACCCACACATGCCTTTCCCTGCTGATGGTCAGGGAAATCACCAGTAAGCCCTGCACACCGGTCACGAAACTTCTGGCTTTTTGTTTGAATAAAAAAAAAAAAAAAAAAAAAAAAGCACAACATGGCGTCCCTTACTTATCCTCACATAACGAGAAAGGAGATGCCTTAGATGAATGCAGGGAAAGCCCCGCACCTCCGATCCTATCTATTTAATGTGCAAGCCATGGTGGTGAACCCTAGCCAGACGACTGTATTAATTCTGCAGAAGTGTGCCACATTCCATGTAGGAACAGAAATGCAAACTATAGCCTAGAGTGGTTTGAAGTCTACACCAGATCAAGCCTTCCCCTCTGACTGGCGCCAGAGTTTCATTCACAGACCGCCCGTGTTTTCCATACGAAGCTTTGTCATCTGCCTTCCTCCTTTGTGTTTAGACACCCTAGAGACAACCCCAAAGGACGGACCCACAAAGTCTCCACCAGAACCAAGAGGCTCACCTCTTAAAGCAAAAGGGGGAACCAAACCAAACACCGTCAACAACCCCCGCGCCCCCACAAACAAACATCCCCCTCCCTCCATCAACAAACAGTGCACGGAAAAATAACACCCCCTCCCCCCCCAAAAAAAAACCCAGATTCCCCCTCCCAGCCCTACACCGCGGGGGCAGCGGCGGCTGCTATTGCAGCTGCCCTTTTGGAAAGTGCAATTGTTGCCAGTGCTCCTTGTGTACCATTCAAAAGCCCGGGACCCAATTAGCTCTGCCTCCTCCGCGCTGTGGCTTTGCCCCCGGATCCTTTGCCTTCTTCAGTGCTGGGGCTAGGGCGGCAGCAGCAGCCTCGGAACCCCGGGCATCGGGGCTCCAGCCAAACTGGCCATGCCTTAGAAAAAGGAAACAAACCATACACACATGCATGCACACACACACAGAGCGCCAGCGCTATCAAAGGAGGGTGGATGAAAATGGATCCTGTAGCTTTAAAAAAAACCCTCGGTCTCTTCTCCAGAGCCAAGATCGGAGTTAGTTTCAAGAAGAGGCACTTTCCAAAAAAAAAAAAAAAAAAAAAAAAAGCCATGCAATGCAATGCAATGCGCACTCCCCAGTCCATGCAGGGGAGAGACAGGAACAGCAGTTCAGAGCAGCTTTTCTTACCTTGAACACAGAAGAGAGATCTGCAAACCCCCCTTTTGCTTTGGGCTCTGTTGGGTTTGTGTGTTGATGGGTTTGTTTTTTTGCTTTTATTACTATCTTTGTTCCTTAGATCCTGCTGTGATTATTATTTTTAAAGCTGCTTCTTCTCTCTCCCGCTCTCTCCCTCTTTTTTATGCTTCAACTATTTATTTTGTGTGTGTGTGTGTGTATGTATGTGGAGGGGGGAAAAAGCCTTAAAATGAAACTGCCGAGGCTGTTATGAGAAGAAAGGCAATAATCCCGTCTCTAAATAACAGAGGGAAGGGAAAAGAGGAGGAAAAAAAGCGAATTCTTGCTCAGGGCTTTGCAAACGCCTCCAGGGCAGAGGATTAGGCTACAATTAGCTCAGCTCTTTGCTCTCGCCCTAGCTAATTTTGCGATGAAAATTGGATATTTTTCCCTCCTTTGGCTGGAGATCTTCAGATTTAAAAAAAAACACCTTTGCAAATAAAATTAATAAGAATAATAAAATCAGATGGCGAGCCCCCACCACTTTCCTCCTTCCCACCCCCCTCCCCAAACTAACCCCCCTCTCTTCTTGGCTGCAGAATCCTTTTGCTAACGGTTTGGGTTGCCAGCCCCTCTCCTTCCGGGGCTGGGGGGATAACGGTTTAATGTTGTGGAATATCAGGCCACTGTCACGTCCTTCAATAGACTTACTGAAAAGAAGAAGGAGGAAGGGGGGGGGAGCTGATTTTAATCATTGTCATTTGGTCTGATGTAATATTTCCCCAGGCACTTTCAACTAGGCATAAATTTTCAGCTCCCAAATAAGTAACACAGGGCACGTTTCTCACATCTCTTGACTCCTCTGTTACAATTAGGGTAGCACCCACTCTGCACTTGTTGATAAACTAGATCAAGTTAAAAAAAAACTACAGCAATGAAAGATGCAGATAGGAGGGGTTTTTTGGGGGGTGGAGGATTGCAATTATCCCCCCCCCCTTCTCGTTTTCCCTCCATTCTCTCCCTTTTCACCCTTTGCTAATGTCTCGCATTGTAAACGCCAAATTTCCTGTAGGCCATTAAAACCAAATGACGTCTATCGACATGCATTGTGCTATTGCAGAAAGCGCCCTGGCAGGCCGCCCCTGGCCAAAAGCGCCATTTCAATTATAGCGCACGGCTAGATGGAGATGTCTGCCATGAAGATTTCCCAGGCAGACAGGCAGCTCCACAGGAGAACCCAGCCGCTGCTGCTGCTTCCCGTCGCTGTGCCTCCCCCTTTGGAACCTCACACCCAGCCCCTCCCTTCAACCAGCACAGCAATATCCTCCATAAACTTTTAACAAAAGCTGCTTCATTTGGTTCCATACATTTCGGCATTTTTTTGTGTGTGCAGCTAACCCAATATGGGATATGGATCTAGAGGGAAACCTGCATTCTCTACCTCCCCCACCCCTCTCCCACGGTGATGTTTACATTGAATAAACTTTTAACATTTGTGCGGGTGGTTTAAGGTATTTATTATTAAATCGATTATTTGCAGATGGCCAATATGGCATGTGGATTTTGGGATAGTTGCCTACTATTGAGCTTGGCTAGACCAAAGATAGATAGACAGATAGATGGATAGATAAGATAAATAGCTTAGATAGACATCCTGCAATAAACTTTTTTTTTAAATGGCTCTTTTATTTTATTTATATGGATCATCTCTTTTTTTTCATTTTGTAGATCATCCATCTGGCTACTGAACACTATGAAAACATCCTTCTCAGCCCCTTCTTCCTAAAATCAGGTTGATCTGTGAATAAACTTTTAACAAATTGTGTTTCCTTTGTTTCATTTATGTGATTTCATGCAGTTCGACCCTCTTGTTATTTTTGCAGTTCATCTCTCTGCCATATTGATCTCTAGAGGAACACCTTTCCTTGACCTGCATCCCCTCTGCATTTTTTCAATACATCATTACTTTTCATACCTTAAGAGTGTAAGAATAGGATATATTTGTGTGTGTGTATGTGTGTTTGTATATTAGAAATAAATGTCAGCCTCTGTGACTGGAATTAAGTACATTTTAGATCTTCAGCGCCTACTAGCTGTAAACTACTGTAAGTGCAGCAAAGTTATGTAATTATTTATTTTTTTGCTGTTATTACAAAGGTCAGGCCACTTCATGGTTAAAGGGAAATCAGAATTGCTTGGCCTCACCGGAGAGCTCCTCTGTCAGAGGCAAAATCTGAAGCATTGGGCTTAACACTAGTCCTTTTTCCTGACATTTATGGTCAGAGCAGGAAGGCGTGGGAACTGGATGTCTTTATTATTGCACCATCAAGAACAAAGTGAGAAAAAGCAGAAACCCCTAAAATTGAGTGGTTTTTTAAAGTTATCTTCCATGGCAGGAATAAACAGAAACTTTTTCCTAAGGGTAGTGGTTTTTTTTTTAAGAGTACAAACTGCAGCAGAAGAGGGAAATTTTCTCATTAAAGTTACATCCCTGCAGTTAGTTCAATTACTTGATATATGCAGAAGATGTTGTAAATTTAAAGATTTAAATAGCTTACAAAGATGCCGGAGGCTCCATCAGTTAATTTCCTTAATTTATGGATTTTTAGCTGAGCTTCTGAAATGAAAAGGAGAATGAGAACTAGGTCAGCTGAGAGATTTGCATCCAGCACAGACTCAAATTTGTTTTTCCTTGACCATCCTACCAGCTCAGGTACCCTTCTTAGGGCAACAGTTTCACCTTTGACTTTTGAAGTGTCTGTATTGTCTATGAAACTCCAGCACAAAAGGTTGGGATTTTATTTGAAACTAACCTGCTGAGCATAACAGTATCTTCAATTAACTGCCTTGCTATAGCATTGGGCAAGATTGTAGTTTCCCTTTAACAGTTCAACAAGTGCAGTTTCAGGAGAGGGAAAAAAATCCCATTGAGACTTTAAGTCCTCTTTTGCAGGGCAAGCCAAATAAGATACTCAGTGAGGCACAGCCTGAAAATTGTATATGATTTGGAAGCTTAATTTTTATTTCATCTGTATATTATGGTCTAATATAAAGTAAGTATGAGACTTATGAGCAGTAATCAAAACATAACTGGAAATAGTGCTTCTATACCAAGGCCCAATAAAGAGGAAACAAATAATTAAAATATTTTATTGAACAGAAAGAAAAAAATGCTTCCTCAGTCAGTCCCAACTCATCTCAAAAAGTAATAATTCAAGTGTATTGCACAGTAATAAAATGTCTGGCTCATACAGGAATTGAGTTTTGCTTTTTGGGTTTA